TATTATGATAAGACTAAAACTGACAGATTGAACTGTTCATTTTAAATCCATCAATGAACAGTCTTCCCTGAGTTCTCCATAGATGTTTGTTTTCAGAGGAGGAAGAGAAAATGCAGTGCTGTTGCTCCAATTATTTTCCCTACTGCCAAGAACTGTTAGGCGGAGACAGGAATGCTGTTTGATAAAAAAATTGTAATTTAATGATCAAATAAATTAGTATTTTCCTGAAATTTGACACAAATACTGAGACAATAAATTTGACTAAACTTCTATACAGCAAAAGAGTGACAGATCATTGGTGCTTTTTTTCTATCTATAAACCAATGAGCCTTTATGTCTGTGTCTACCATGTGACACAAAATACTTTGGGTTTTCCTGCTTCAAAGGTCACTGACAGCTAGATTCTGTAAAGCAGGCAACATATAGATAACTTCTCACTTTTAATCAAGTTTGTATACGTTTATAAGCAGTGCTTAGAATTCTTAAAGTTGCAGTAGTATTGTTATTGTTGTTCCCTTGCATAGAATATGTGCAGCTCTGGAGCCAACATGAGGTTCTTTGTCACTTCAGCGCCAAAGATAAAGATTCAAGTGAGCAATGTTTTATACATAAAGAAATCATAAAAGGTATGTTTTTACGTGATGTCTGCATAGGTTCCACAACAGGAACTATTTAACATTATTGTCTTCGGGCCCTTCATGTCACTGGAGTTCAAATAATATTATTGCTGTTCTTGTCTTTGACACTTTTTTTATGTCTTTCTGAACACATACCAGGGATAAACAGCAGTGTCAGAAATGTCTACAGGGTCACCTGTATAATCCTGCCTTTCCTTTATTGTATTTTCAAATATAAATTTGTTCTAATCTTCATTATGTGTATGTTTTTTAACCCTATATTCAGAAATAGGAAATCTTAAAGCAGCTTGATTGAGTCTAACTTTGAAACAATGCGCAACAGCACAACCTGCCGGTGGGAGACTGTAACTACATCCCTATCTGATAAACTGAAATTACTACAGTTACAGTTCAACATGAACTATGTTGGATGATATCAGATAATTGTGTTCTTTTCACTCCGGAACGGTGACACATTCCCTTTGGAAAATTAAATATATAACTGCACAGAAACCCCACAGATTTTAAAATGTCCCATCTGCGCTTCCTTCTTCATAAAAGGAGGCGTAACTTATTCAAAGCAGGTGATTGGATAACAGTCTGTAGATATTTCCTAACTGATAGCAGAATTTAGACGACCTTTAGTTACATTTACTGAGGCAAGAGAATAAAACATTTTGTTTGAATGAGGAACCGGGGGAAAATTCCAGCAAAGTAATATGAGAATTTGTCTTAAATATGCTCCACCATAAATATTATGGGGCTGTATTTCGGAAGAGGTCTAGGGCCACTGGAAAAACAGAAAAAGTTGACTGATTTTTTGTTGAACATGTTGTTTGAATGAGGAACCGGGAAAAAATTCCAGCGAAGTAACCGATTTTTTTAATCTTATTTCAGTATGAGAAAAAAGTCAGAATTCTGACTTTAATCTCCGATTTCTGACAATTTTCTTAGAGTTCTGACTTTAATATTAGAATTCTGATTTTAATCTCAGAGTTTTGGATCTTAATGTAGATGGGCACCATGAAGGAAGAGATGTGGGAGCGCTGAGCTTCTCTGACAAAGATGTGAGTTGTTGGGAAGGGCCAGTAACACAATGGTGGAAAATGAGAGAATTAGGTGACTTTTTACTTGCCTGAGGGGTCCCCGGTGATACTATTTCATTAATGGAAGAGCAGAAGGTGATAAAAACAAGAGAGCTAGTTTAGTCTCTAAAATAGACATGGCTACGGCTTGGTGCTAACATGTTTGTTAGCTGTCAGAATTCAGAGATTAAAGTCAAAATTGTGAGAAAAAAGTCAGAATTATGACTCTTTTTTCTCATATTAAACTGAAATATTTAAAAATCTGTTAATTTTTTCCCCCATTGACCCTAATACTCTTCCATACTGTGTAGAATAGAAAATCCATTTACTGTCCCACAATGGGGAAATTGTGGTGTTTACAGCAGCAAAAAAAAAAAAATAGAAAAAATGTATAAGAATAACAAAATAGTGAAGAGTGAAAAGATAAAAAATAAAATACCGTACTGTAAAGTGTTTACCGATATAGAACTGTGCACCTGGAGAATAAATAACACACATACAGCTATGCAAAGTTTTTACAGTGACCCATAGGCGAGTAGAAATAAATCTGAGCAGTCCTAAAGCATACTTTAACCAAGTACGATTCACCATTTAACTTAATTTTCTGAATTACAGCTAACAGCTATTGTTGTATGTATCTCCACCTGCAAAATAGATGCTCCGCTAATGATTTACACTTTGCCACATGCTTATAATAACAAAGTTGAAATTACTGAATCCCACAAGTCCAGAAATATTTATTTTACATTTTTTCTTTAACAGTAATATAATAACCACTCTGACAATACTCCCTCCATCGCTGCTCCAGCAGGAGCAGTGAACGGTCATCAAAAGCAAAGATCACGTGATCGAAATCACCAATCTTTACCAGCTTCGCGCTCAGGAAGAAGTATCATTACCTCATCATCGTGGTTAGCGAGACCATACAATTAAGAAGCACATTTCTCAAGTAAGAAACTATAGAAATGATCCCTGAAAGTATAGTCTTAACTCACCATGTCCACTCCCCTCATTCTAATATGACCGCCATACCTTTCTCTGTGATGGTGCAAATTACACGTGGAGCGTGTTTGTTTCATATTACAAAGTAGAAAACAGACACATAGACTATGACTAGTATAACTTATAAGGAATGTATTTAACAAGTAAAAACTAAATTTAATGTAAAGGTTGGCGTTTTACAAGACTTGCATGTTGTCTGAAATTACCCATAATGCATTGCGAGCTCATTATTCCGCTCCTCAAAAACAAAACCAAAAAAAATAAAAAATGAATAAATAAATAAATACTCTCGCATTCCTCTGTCGGCTATGAAGTCCTCTCCGTTTATTTACACGGTTACATCTCAGTTTAAATGTGATCTTGTGGGCAAAAACAGGTTTTCCTGATGCTTAAAGTTCAAGAAGTTTACAGGCATACAGACTTTTTGCTGACCTGTTTGTTAAACTTTAGTAGACCAGTATAATTAAACACATGTATCCACACATTCTCTGATAATATCCAGAGTAAGTGGCAAGATGCTAAAAATAGCTTTATGTTTTAGCAATGTTGAAACTGTAAAAGGAATCTCTGTGTTTACGCCTTTAAGCTTTCTCTTTCCCTATTTTTTTTCCTGAGAAAAGATCACATTCAAATAAAACAATGTAATTTTTATGTATTAAAAAACTATGAGACATGGCAACAGATTTTGACAGAAATTGTAATCTTACTCAGATCAGGGAAATGGCTTGTGTTATACATAAATGGCAGCGCTTACTTCAGAAAGTCAGCCCATAATCCCGCTTAAAGAAGCATTTTATACAGACAGCCTGCTACATCATCACATCATACACATTTGTACAATGAAGAGGCATCACTAACCCCAGCCTCATCAAAATAACATGTTGTTCAGGTTTGAGGACACTACGAATGCACAGTGACAGAGCTATCTGTTAACAGTCTACCCAAGCCATATTGGTCTCTATTAAAGCATCTCTGCTTCTGTCTCCTTGAACCCCAGTCGGCCTCGGCAGATGGCCGCTCACACTGAGCCTGGTTCTGCTGTAGGTTTCTTCCTGTTAAAAGGGAAGTTTCCTCTCCACTGTCGCTACAAGCATGCTTAATGTGAGGGATTTCATCTGAGTTTCAATGAGTCCATGCAATCAGCTGGTTTTCCTTAGATAGAAAACTTTGAATCAATGTGACTGGATGATCTGGTTGAATTGTAAAGTGCCTTGAGATGTGTTGTGAATTGGTGCCATATAAATAAACTGAATTGAAATAAATAATTCCAAATCCAATGATATATAAACAAGTCTGAAAAACAATAGACAACATAAAGTTTTTTTTTTTTTACTTTATCCTTCAGTTATGGGGAAAAAGGAACACAATTGAAGGCTAGAGCAGAAACAGAATATGAAAAAACACGGTCTACATAAGTTATAAGTGCAGGGAACAGTTTATACTGTAAAACACAATTGCTTCTTGTTTACATGCAAGTGCTATAATTAGTCTTTAGGTCTGATAATTCCCCTTTCTTCAACAGCCTTTCTTCTGCTGGATACATAATGAAAATGATCTTAAAGTTATTTTATCTTATTTTAAAGTTAAAAGCTCTCATTGCACTGACAGATCATCTTATTTTTCTGCTCAGATTAGGGGTGAATAGTTATTTTAAGAAAAGTTTACATATTTTTACCGTACAAGATATTTTTCAATAAACACAAAAATTGAAAATACAACTTAATTTACAAGCTGCACTTTAACTGAATATAACTTTAAAGTTATTTTTATGAATCATGGTTGTTTGGTGGAATTATGTTTGCTTTAAAATAAAATGTCAAAAAAGAAAAAAGGTAACTTTTGTGCTTTAGTTGTCAATAAAAACAACACGAGTCAAAAACATGTCATCAGGGTTACTCTGTCCCTGACAGGTACCATTATAGGAAATCAATAATTACATCTATGGGATGCATAAATAAATGTATTTTTTCTAATTTAATCAGAGTTGCATTTTAAACCGTTGATTGGTGCCTGATAGAGGCCATTATATAAACTAATCTGTTGGTGGAGATAAATGTGCTTAAGTTACCTGGACCTTTAGCTGATTGAGGAGGTGCTACACGTCTCGAGGGTCAAAATTACAAAAATCTCGACTCTGGGTTTGATAGATTTTTAAATTCATAAACGGTATTTTGGTCCGAAGACTAAATAAAGCAACAAAAAAAAACGTTTTGCCCAGATGGGAACAGGGCAGGTGCTGTAGCACCCCCCGGTGTCCATCTGTGCATAATACAATATATATTAAAAACCTCACTAACCAACTCTTTCCAAAGACAAATCCATTTTACCAACATCGAGACCAGATATTATTAAAAAAACTATTCTTTATTTTACAATGCAACTCTAGCATCTCAAAACAAAGTGGGATTTTGCACTCAAATCTTTAGACTGCAAAATGAAAATACACTTCACGAAAGTAAACAGCAGTTAATCTATCCTGCTGCGCTAATACAAACCTTGACATTGATAGTTTCACATTTTATACTTTCATATATCAGTGACTTGTGAATGGGAATATGTTCATGAAAATGTTCCAGTGAGGTAGAAATCTTAAGAGGGCAACACTGACAATTTAATACATAAATTTAACTTGATACAATATCTGAAGAAAACAAACATGTGATTTGATCATTATGCCATCTAAATAAGTGGTTGAATTTTTCTTGCTAATGAGGCAAAGTAGATCCTTCCGTATTTAAGGCGGTTTCCCGTTCATCTTCAGCACAGCAGACTCCAAACCAGGGCTCAGAAGAAAGCCTGGCTTTTCCATATCTGTCGAACCTAAACATGTGAATTAAAGTGTTGGCAGTTCGATTAAAGTCAAAAACAAGTCTTTGTCAAGAGGGTATTTTCCTCCTAGTCAAATTAAGTTTTATTTCACACTTCCCTTTAATTCACAAAACATAGAAAATGCATTCAAAACCACTTCAAACACAAACTTCCAATGGGATCTGTTCAAACATTCACCAGGAACATCGCCCAAACTTCAGCACTCTTTCTGTGTTTCCCCGCCTGCACACAGACTTCACAAACAAAGTCACATTTTCACACAAACAGGGTGGTAACAAGGAGAAAATAACACAGGCATTCACATCGAACTGGACAGCAAGAAAAGATCTACTAAAATATATAGATATTCAAAGCACTTGACAATTCAGTGTTTGTTTGTTTTTTTGTAAAGAATCAGGGTTGGATAGAAAACGATATGAGAAAGTAGAAAAATCTGGGCTCTTGAGATGTTAACAAATGTCCTTGTGATGGTCACTGAGAACACACACGTACTTTGCTTCTTTCTCTCACACTCGCACAAAAAGCCACAGGTTCTTCTCATCTCTCCCAGGCATTTGTCTTTCAAAAAAAGAAAAATAAAGCACAAACAGTACTTGCTTTCCGTCCTTTTGCTCACTCTCATTCAGTCCAACACCGAATCCATTCATCGAGATCAAAAAGCGACAGTGGCAGACCCTATATCCCGAAAAATAAAAACAGAAAAAGAGAGGAAAGAAAGGCAACACCCACCGTCTAACACTGTATACGCAGACTGAAGCTGTGACCTCGGATGATAAAGCATTTACATGTGGGAGGAGGGATACTGAGATCTGCCGAGCATTGCAGCCAATGATGTGACTCCTCCCGGGAAATTGTGAAAGAGTTGGTGAACTGCGGAAGAAACGTTCATGAAGGCGTTTCCAACAGAGGAAATAACCAACCAACCAAAAAAAAAAAACCCAATATAATGCATAAATATATAATTATCTAACAGCCAGCGTACGACGGACTGCAGGGAGACCTAAACACTCGTGCATGTTTATAAATAGTTATGGTGCATGCACAGTCATCTCTTCATAACGTATTCTCACAAACAAAACTAGAAAGTTTGGAAGATTCCTCAAACTAAACTTTTCACCCATTCCATGTATGACTACACAGCCACACAAGTAGAAACGTTCGCTTTGATAAAATAAAAGGCAGTGTTTCATTTTTAAATAAAGTATAAGCACTTCCTTCCTGTAGGTGTACTTACCAGATATGCCTAACAGAAAGAGAAAACGTCAACCCTCAGCTGTCTACATTCCCCAGCTAGAAGATTTAGACTCCATTGATGTGCCAAAGCCGGAGCTGAAGCCGCTGTTTGAGGCGGTGTTGGTGCCTGCACCCCAGCCGAGGCTAGCTGAGCTGGGGCTGCTGTAACTGGTGCTGGCAGAGCTGTATGTCTGATCTCTGGTCGTAGAGGCTGTGCCTGTCGCCGTGGTCAACCCCTGCTGGTTAGCCAGCATGCCCATCATTCCCCAACTGCTCTGCAGTGCTGCCTGAGCTGCTGCCACCATAGCTGGGTTAAGGCCCAGAGCCCCAAAGTTAACCCCTCCGCTACCGCCACCTAGCCCCCCACGATTACTGCCGTACCCTTGACTGAACCCGCCAGCCCCAAACCGGCCCCGATCCATCATTTGCCTACTGTTATTGTGTTTGGGCTCAGCGTTGGAGATGTGCACGCTGACGCCCTTGATGATCAGGTCCTCTCCACACAATGCCTGGGCAACCTATGGGAGAGTGAGTGAGAATAAGAACCATCACAGCCAGTTGTTACCTTCTAACTTTAGCTGTCTGTTTTATACTTAGTACAGTTGTGTGTTATCCATAAATACAGTGCTTTGCAAACATATTCACAGCCTTCAATGTGTTCTCTGGGAAATTAATTTGATAGCCCAGTTATTATTATTTAAAATTGAAATAAAAAAGCTTGAGCTCTGGCAGATCGTATAAAATTAATCCGTCAACATCAACTTTTAAGCCTCAGATTTCATATTGAATTAGTCTTTTGTAACTTCTAGCAGGTTTTCCTTCCAGGTCTGCCTAGTTTTTAACTGCCCAGCTTTCTGTTCACACTGACCACCATCCCAGTCCCTGGTGACGAAAAGCATACCCTCAGCATGATGCCACCCCCTCCATGTCTAACAAGGGAAGTGGTGGTCTCATCTGACCCAGGCTTAAGCATGGGCTAGCTCTTTTTTTATATATATATATAGAAATTTAAAGAATTGACATGGATTTAAATCTCTGACATTAGATTATACTCTGATGGAGTTTATTTATTAACAACAAGACTTCTTCAGGTAACTGCTTAAAATGAATTTTATTCATATACATATATTTTAAATTTCTTTTACAGTTATGCACTAATTTATGCAGAGCTATCATAAAACCCACAAAATACACCAATATTTGCAGTTTTAAGAAAATGTTTGACAGGTAGGAATACTTCAGCAAGGCAAACTTTTTATTTATATTTTTGAACCTTATAATATAAGCATTTTCAGTGTAAGGGGAGAGCAGCAGTTCATACCTGATCATCAGCAAATGTGACAAATGCGAACGCCCGGAAAGGTTTGGGAATAAAGACATCAGTGACCTCCCCATACTGCATGAAGTACTGCCTCAGATCATCTGTCGTCATGTCCTCTGTGCAGCGCCCCACAAAGATTTTACGGCTCCGCATCGGTTCATCAGGAGATGCCTGATAAAGAAGTTTGGTCTGAATTAAAAAATCAAAACAACAAAACATTGAGAATGTATGATAAATGGGGTCCAGCATACCTTTGAGTTTGGAAGCTTACAGTCACACCATCGTCCATCAATCATGTGTCTCTGAGCAATGACTTTAGTTTGTGTCTCATAGTCAGCAAAGCGGACAAACCCAAATCCTTTTGAATTGCCAGTTTTTGCATCCCTCTTCACCTGGAAAAAGCAAAGAGCAAGAATAAAAGCTCCATCGACATTTTAAAATAAGCCCTAAATATTTTTAGAGCTGAAAAGGCAGGCTTAAGAGGATTTAGTTGGATGAAACATAAGTACCTGCACCATGATGACCTCCCCAAAGGTACTAAAATAATCCTTCAGGTCTTGTTCTGTTGTTTTCCAAGGCAGCCCGAGCACTATGAGATCAGATGTTTTCTGAAACCCTCTTTTTACTTTAACAGCCGATGCTGCGTCTATTTCCTCCATCTTCCTTTTGTTATCTGGGAACAATAAACAGATTCTGACATAAGAAAAAAAAATAGAGCATTTATTTTATTATCAGTTGTTTTTAATATAAAAGCTTTCTTCTTTGCTGCTTGTTGTTCTGAAGCCCACTTCTCCCAACAAAGGTGACCATTTTTTCTTACCTAACTCATACACTTAATTCAAGCACAATTGTAGCATTTTTCTCCAACGGACTTCACATTCAATCTTGAATCAAAAAATTTTGCATATCATGTAACCTTTACATCAGAGGTCTTCAACAGGGGGTCCACGGAGGTACTGCATGGGGGTTGCGAAAGTTTTGGTTGATTACTTCTTTTTATATTCCCTCCTGCAATTTTTTGCAGTAATTAAAATGTCTTTAAATACACATTAACATGAATTCATTACACTGTAGTAAACAGATAAATGGAAGCAGAAGATGTCTTTCAGTCATCAATCAACACATTCAGCGACACACAGGAGCACTTTCAAACCAGGGCACCATTTCATTCACAACACCTGTCCCATCAACCAGGAATCAGAATCAGAAATACTTTAATAATCCCAGGGAGAAATAACCTTTGTTACATTACTCCATCTGTAATAGAGTGACTGTAGGACCAGTTTGATATAACACAATTTCATACAATAAATATAATTAGGGGGTCCCCGCTCCATCTCGCAATCAGCTTGGGGGTCCTTGGCTTTGAAAACGTTGAAGACCCCTGCTTTACATCATCGCTTTTACTTCACCTGGTAGTTAAGTGTTTTTGTAGAACTCCTCACATTACTGACTGTAAAATGCTTAAATCATACATGCACTGGAATGTATTATCAGGATCATGAATATGTCATCAGAAATTACTTTAATCATGCGATTAAAAGCAGGTGTGAACTGGGGGGAAATATGATGTGCAGTGTGGCTAAAAGACTTCTTAAATATTAAGACACATTCATTCAGGCATCTGAAAGGTAATATTCCTTAATCTACTAATCTTTAACTTATCATAGAAATAAATATTTTCCTGACTTTTTAGGGATATATGGAGGAGTATGGCTAACTTTCCCTTTTTTTTTTTATCTTCACAGTAAAGTTTTTTTTTCTTTTGTTAATTTCAATTGATTGTGGAATTTGGTCCTAAAGTAACAGCTTTACAATGTTAGGCGTGTTGTTTCTTGGACTTGAAAATTACCACTATTTCCCAAGCATGTCATTCAGTTGTGCAGGAGCAAGTTAATGACTCAAGTGTGTTGCAACAGGGGAAAAGAGAACATGAGTAACAATGAGAAGGAGTACTTCCTAATGCAATGCAATGTAAATAAACAAGAATAGAGCTAAAATACTATCTCATACAATGGATTTTGTTTAATATCCCTAACAGATATCATTAATGCAGTCAATGCAGAAATTAAGATAGCTGGTCACATATGAGTCTGCTTGTAAACAACGGGAAAAAAGCTTCCTATCTCACCTTTGGGGTAGTTGACGACATAGACCAGGTTTCCCCAGCTGCTCTCTGGTGCATGCAGGACTCCCTCTACCAACCGAACTCCCCTCATGCACTGGGACTCCGGGTTTCTGTACCGCAAACCACAAGCCCCTGGGAACTGGGCTGACACCGAGGAAAGCAGAACAGTCCCATCGTCCTCGGAGGGGATCTCCATGGGCTCCTCATTCTCATCCTCAGCCACCCGAATGTACAGCTCTGACATGTTGCTTCGGGTTGGCCGAGCGCTGAACCGACAACAGTCAGCCGATGACGGAGCTCGAGTTAATTACAATGGTACACGTAGAGTTTGAAGATTCCCGAACTTGGCTTAACTTTTCTTCAATGAAAACTAAATTGAGAGAGCAAAACGACGGGAGTCATAAGCGGACAAATCGTGCTTATTCGATAGCTGAAACATTTAAAAGCTGGCGGTCATGACGGTGAAACGTTTCCTCCAAACGAAACACGTAAACAAGTTAGCCAGCTAGCCAAAGAGCTAGCAAACTCAAAGCGGCTCGAAAAATGAATGACTGTGTTTAATGTCAGCGGACAAACACGTCGTATTCTAACATAAAAGCCTCTAATCAAAAACACAACATAAGCAAAAACGTATACAAGCTGTTACTTTCAATGAAATTTGATGAACGAAATCTACACAGCTACACAGGGCTAACAAAATGGCCGCTCACCTTGTTAAAATGACATCATCGACTTGGAAGGGCCCACTTTCAGGATTCTGGAGGTGGGTCAGTTATTCATACAACAAACATGTTGGCGGGATTTAAAACCCTGACAACAACCACTTAAGAAATTTAACAGCATTTTATTTGTTGACGGTTGTGTAAATGTGTTCGCGTCTTGCAATTTTCGTTTCGCAATATAAACAATATTGTCGTCGTGTGGCTTCCCCTTTAATGACAAACCACGACAAAGCAGTTAAAAACCCAAACAAATAACGCCATGCCATTAATAATCTGGCAAAACGAGATTAATTAAAACAAATAAGCTTATAAACAATCTTTGTATGTTTATGTAACACCCAAACTAAGTTTTGCTCGTGAGGGGATTTGTTAAAACGCAAGAAAAATACCACTATTAAAAGGGATGTTTGGAGAAAAAAAAAAAATCCAATGTTTGTCAAATACATTCAAATAATTAGCTTTTATGCAAAACTTTTTTAAAATATGATGAAAAAAAAAAAAAACTGGGCTAAATATGTTTATCACCCTAAAGGATAGAATGTTGTTACAAACAGTATACTTCCACATATTTTGATTTTTTTTTTTTTTTTTTTTAAATTTTAAAAAGTTTAAAAGCTTTTTGAAACAATAACCTTACAGTGTGTGTGATCACTTTCTCCATTAGGTCTTCACAAAGTTCCTCTCTATATCACATAACATAGATTGAATGCATTGGCCCACACAGACACAAAACATGAGGCATTGGCTTGTCAACAGGCTTAATGTAGCTATAAGAAAATTTCTGAATTTCACAAAAGGTGCTTTAAACTTTCTAGATGTTATGCAGGAGGTCTAGAGTGACAGACAGTTAATGTAAGCTGAAGTCTGCAGGCGAACCTATCCAATATCTTAGCAAATTAACTAGCTAATATCAGCTGATTAAATTCCCACTGTTACTTTGTAAAGAACACAACCCAAAACAGCAATAATATTTTGTTTAGTAAGCAAGTTTATTGAAAAATAACTGGTTATTTAGTATTTTGGTCTAGTTTTCTTAGGTTTACATCTGTTTAAATATGTCAACTTTGGCTAGACCAATTCCATTTTATACCTAATTTGAGTTTGTTGCTCAACCTGTCACCAAAGTTGAATTTAATTATTGTTTTGCAAAATTAATTTAGCTCATGGAATGTGAAAAATATTGTTTTTTTAGTTGCAGTAATCCAGGGAGTGTTGCTGTTTGTGTGTTTTTATTTTTTATATAAGAGGTATTGGATATTGCTAAATATTTGTGAGCATTTTTGTTAAAAGGTTTACACTCTGAAACCTTGATTAAAATTTATTTTCTATTTTTTTATTGAAATGTTTTGTTGATAACAGAAAGAAGAAATGGAAGGTGTAATTTTGCAGTAAACCTATAATTAGAAAAAAGGGGAAACTCAGGACCCTCCCTTATAATTATGTGCAACAAACATGGTTCTTTAATAACTTACCACATTACTAACAGAGGTATAGACTCTTATTGGTGCAGATGGGACATGACTAAAGACAGTTAAACTTTGTAAAAGAATAGTTATTCATTGCTTATATTAGCTGAGCTTTAACTTTTGAAGGCAAGTCAACATCTGTAAAACAGGCTGCGTTTTATGGGGAAAAAAACAGAGAGAGAGACCCTAAGCACATGTTTGTTGGCTTGGTCCGGATTGACTTGAAGTCTGATGTTACACAGAATTCTCAGACCAGGACCCATTAGAATAGAATAGAAAATCCCTTTATTGTCCCACAATGGGGAAATTGTGGCGTTACAGCAGCAAAATATTATTGCAAAACCCATAGTTTGAAATTAGTATAAAATTGAAAGTATATTAAAGATTAAGGGAGTGGCATGTCTTATAAAGGTCTATTCATTTACTATTTCTGTGCAAAAAAAAAAAAGAGCTTAACTCAACAAAGATCAGTTATAGTAAGTTCCCATTCTGTGACTATCAGACAATGACTCCAGATGGCGCTGTTCTCACTATAACATACAAAAAGTGTTTACAACTGAAAAATACATTTTATGTGAACATCTTTGTTCTGCTATAAGGGCATTAATGACTATTGATGTGAGAAGGGAATTAAGATTGATGTGAAAATCAAAATAAGTATTATGTGCCTCAAAACCAGCTTCTACTCTACTGTAAACATTATAGTTTTCTTTCTTTCTTTCTTTCTTTCTTTCTTTCTTTCTTTCTTTCTTTCTTTCTTTCTTTCTTTCTTTCTTTCTTACTCTATATGACACCTTTAATTTAGCACACATCCTTAGCAGCACCCTCTGCAGTCACAGTTTCTGATTACTAGATTTTCACACAATGGGTAGCACTGCTGCCTTGCAGCAAGAAGGTCCTGTGTTCCAATCCCAGCCCAGGTTCTTTCTGCATGAAGTTTGCATGTTCTCCCTTTTCATGCCTGGGTTCTCTCCGGGTACTCCAGTTTCCTCCCACAGTCCAAAAACATGACTGTTAGGTTAATTGGCTTCTCTAAATCCTCCTTCTCGCCTCTCGCCCGTAGACAGCTGGAGACAGGCACCAGCACCCGGCATGACCCAATTGTGATAAAGCGTGATGGAAAATGGATAGGTATATATATATATTTATTTATATATACATATATATATATATAAGTGAAAACATCCATTCAAAATGAAACAACAGTTCTCATTTTGAAACAATGCATCAGTTTATCTAGACAAGGACTCATGGGCAGAGAGGCCTTCAGCACTATGTCAGTTAACTAGGCAGACAGTCTCAGCATAGAGGAGGATAGACAGTTTGTGATGAGAATCATCCCCACAACACAAATACTGTCTATCAAGGTTAAGTCCTGCAGTGCTGGTATATTTTCCTGCTAACTTTATAATCATACACATATGTTAAGTGGTTCATCAAAAGCAGTTTATTACCCTTTCTTTCTTTTTTTTTTTTTTTTTTCCAAAATGTAAGCAGCTATTAGGAATTATTATGCAGTGACACAGCTGTCTTTCTCCCCCAGCCCTCTGCAGACAACAAACATCTCCTGCAGGCATTCTCCAGAGTAGATGTGCTCACCTTCAAAGAAACAAATCACAAAATGCATTGGAGCATGGAAAACACAGTGCCATCCGAAGGTGAGTGTGCCGCTGATGAACACAATAAAACTAAAGAGGTGATTAATTATTGGATGTTATTGTGACCATTAGCTCCTCTGCTGCATTTAATACAGCCACACTTGGCTCTGTTTTTGTTTGTCACTCACTGATGCCTAACTTGAACACCATGTGCTCAGTTTTTTTTAACTTCAGTCTATAGAGAGATTTAAGATCTATAAAACATGTCTTTGTCTAGCCAGCAAAATACCACTGATAAGTCTGGCTTAACTAACAACATCTGGAGTATTATGAGTTTTCTACTTTACCTATAGCTTTAAAGGCTCTGGACCACTCCACAAATCATTTGAGGAAAGTGTCTAAGGACTAGAGATGATGACCAATAATCAGGCGATTTTTCTAAGCAGTTAGTTCTAACTACAGATTCACAACAGAGGGCTACACTGCTGCTATTTTATTGTAACGTGTGACAAGTTTGCACAAAGGTTCAAGTAGATATCAGCAATGTCCCAGTAATATACACAGGGAAACTAGGAAGGTTTATTTTCCCAGCAGAGTATTGTATACAGTAAGATAAAAAAATTTATGACTCAAAGCTTATTTTCATGTATTTACATTTACATGTATTTTATTTGTATTGCGATTCACCAACACAAATGAAAGTATAAATGCTCACTCTTATAATACCCCTAAATAAATTCCGGGGCAGCCCAATACTGAACCAGTAAACAGAGCCAGTTTTGTTTAATAAGAACTCCGTATGTTCAACGTTTCTGTAAAGGCCGGAGGTTTATTATAGAACATGAGTCTAGCACAATAGGCTCAATTTCCACAATAATTTTGTAAGATTTTAAGTTTTCAGACACCATAATATCCATCATCTGAAAGTGGAAAGAGTATGGTATGGTGGCAAACCTTAACCGATATACGGAGTGTGGTCAGAAAAATCTGTTTACTATTACATCCCTTCTCCTGTTAACTATGTTGATGCGTGTGTTTTCTTCCTGGTGCCTCAGAAGCTGTTTTCCAGTTTTACATGTTAAGATGATGCCTCAAGGTTATTTCAACAAATGCTTCAGTTTGTGAGAAACTATGTGAGAAACTGTTTATTTTGTCTTTGAGAATCTCTCCCTGTGATTCTTACTGTAAAAATTCAAAAAAATATCCACTGGACTTGGTTTCCAAGATTTGAAGACGTTTCGCCACCTCTCCAGGAAGCTTTCTCAATTCAAATGTCTGGATCCGCAGTGAGTTTAAGTCTTATATAGACAAAAGATTTAAACACTGACTTGTATAACAGAACTCTGCAGGACCTGTCTGCATGCTAGTACTGCAGTTTAACAATTTGATTCGAGCGTTTAGTGCAAGGGGCACATCTACAAGTTGCAGCACATTGACCGTGCAGGATTTGAATCTGTGACCACAATATTCCCCCCAAAAATGTGCAGCTGTAATCACAACAAAGGCAGGATGTGCAAAAATATTAAGGATAATATTACAGTATAAAAGTACACACTTTTTATGAAAGGGGTGGACGATAATTCAATACCAATGTATATATTACAATATAGTTGTATTTAACGTCAGAGATATGATAGTTTTTTTTTCTCTAACTTACATTCCAGGTTTTATGTAGTTTTATGTGTTTGTTTGTAAAATTGTTTATTGGAGGAGTTTTATAAAGTTGGAAATATAATCGTCATAACTTCGTACATGGATCTGTGGTGGACATTCTTTGCAATCTTTCTAAGGTTTGAATTTTGTCTATATTGATATAGAAATTCTATTGAATAGACTGAAATTAAGAAATATATATTGATACAAATTTTAGGTCTATTTCCCAACTCTGTTTTTCCACCGTAATTGAAGGAAATGT